CGCAGCCGCAGACGCAGCCGCAGCCGCAGCCGCAGCAGCCCGCGTCCTCGCAGATCGACGTGGCCGCGCTGCGCGCCGCCGCGGGGACCGGCGACCTGCAAGGCTTCCTCACCGCCGCGCGCTGCGTGGAGCTGCAGGCGGCCCTGTCCGCGCCCGAGTGCCTCCATGACGCCTACTCCCTTACGCTGTGCTCGGCGGATGAGATCGCCGCCATGGGGCTGCCCGCGGGCCCCTCCAAGAAGCTGCAGGCGGCGCTGCGCGCTTACCAGCAGGCGTATCCCTCCGACATCGTTTGATCTTGGCAGATCTGATCTGATCCGACCTGGATCTAGATCACTTTTGACTGCAGATTCACGTAGCCAATCAGCCCAGGGCCAGCCCGCGTGGGCGGCGCCGCTTGTTTTGGCGCTGGGCGCTTTGTAGTTGATACACGCCCCAACTTGTGAGCGCTTCCGCCGACTGCAGCCCCGGCTTTGGTGCGTCCGGCTGCCCCGCCCGGGACCCGCATTCCGTGTGAGCACCTAGCCCTCGACCGGGCACCCCGGGGGCCGCGGCCGGCCGCCCCGTACACCCACCGACGGGGCCGAGCCCGGGGCGGAGCGGACCGCGGTCGACTCACGCATCCGCCGGCCGCGGCGCCGCCGCTGCTGCCGCCGTCGGCGCGGGCTGCCGCCGTCGGCGCGGGCTGCCGCCGTCGGCGCGGGCTGCAGCCGTCGGCGCGGGCTGCCGCCGTCGGCGCGGGCGGCCCTTGGCGTTCACGAGGCGCCGAACCTCAGCCTCCTGTGCCCATGAAACTTACTAAACCCTGGGGGCCAGCGGCTGCCGTGCTTGCTTGCTCAACATGCATGGGGCCGCACAGTTCAACTCCATCTGTCATGCCTCTATCTTGTAGGGGATGCCTCTTGTGGGTGGTCCCCGGTGTCCCGGCTTCTGCCTGGGTACTGCTCTTGAGCCTCACTGACCGACTGCACGCGGCACACAAGCCCTTCCTGTGCCAGCCCACCGCGGCGGCCCCACAGGCGCGCGCGCTTCACACCGTGCGGGGCTCTATCGCCCGCCTGGGCTGCCCCTGTCGGCACACTTTGATCGGCACACAGCTGGACTCACGACACGGATCCAGCAGAGCAGTGAGCTGCCGCAGCCAAGGTCGTGCCGGCGTCAATAGGGGGTTTGTTCCGTAAGGCAGGCGCGGATGACGCGCTTGCCACCAAGCATACTAAACATCGGCTTGTGCATCCCGAGCGGCCGCCCGGCAGCGGCCCAGCCTGGGCCGTGACCCGGGCCACTCGCCCGCCCCCATGCCGGGCGCGGCTAAATCCCTGTGTGGGTTCTGCCAGCAAGCACTTGAGCGTTGCTCAATCGACGGCGGCAGGGGGTAGCCTGCCTGCGCGGCCGTGCTTTCCGCCGCTGCTGCGGCGCGCCTGGATCGCAGCCCCGCATTTCGGTGGCAGCCGGCCAGCTGCCCACGGGGGTCAGAGACTACGCACCTGTTTTTGTATACAGGGAGCGGCGTGCTTACTACATAATACCCATCGCACTGCATATTACATGTTACCCATCGTGTTTGGGCGCGGATGCCAATGCGCCCGCGGGACTGTTGCTTTCGCACCAAAGGCCGCCGCGCCTCGGCCGCTGCCCAAAACGTGGCCTCCGAGAACGCCCCCCACGCGCGCGTCACGTCGCCCGCCGCGCGCCCCGGCGGCCCCGCTGGACCCACGTCTGGCCGCTGCTGCGGGGGTAGTGCGGGGGTGCCCGCCGTTGAGCCTGCCTGCGCGGCCCGTGTGCAAGCCAGCCTGCAAGCGCTTGTCCAGCGACAGTCCGTGCTGCGCGGCCTGTTCGTGGAACAAACACTGCTTGTTTGCAAGGCCTCCTTCGTAGCAGCTCCTGTCACCAGCGCCATTCCGTATTACCAAACTTGAGCTCGCCCGCGCGCCTTTGCACGAGGGCAGCCGCTCCATTCGCGGTCGCCCCGTCGGCACTGGCGCGCGGGGGGCATTATTACCCCAGCACTTGCGTCCGCCAACGGACCGCCCCTGCGCCGCTCCGCTGTGAGGGGCCCCTGCGCCCCGGCGGCGACGGCTGCATCTTGGAGGGCACGCCGGCCTGCCCGCCGTGGGGGCCGAAGGATTCTTGGCGCGGTCCCCTCCCTCGCTTTGGGACGACGAAACCACACACGGGACGACGAAACCACACAGTGCCTTCGGGGATTGTCCTTCGCTGCCCGTCGGCGACATGGCCCCCGCTGGCCCTACGCTCCAGCCACATGAGCGCCCGCTTTAACCCGAGGGCTGGCCGCCGCAAGAGATCTGACGCTGATGCCTGGCCTCATGCTGCGCTGCCCCATCCATCTCTTTGCTCTTTGCCGCCGCGCATGCAGCACTCTCAAGCCCCCAAGACACATGCAAGCATGAATAAAAACAGACAACCAGCTTCTGCCCGACGCGACTGGACTTTCGAACCCGGTGTGCCTTTTTCGCCACTCCTTATGACAGCTTCTTGTTATTACAGCCGCTGCGGCGCTGGCGATGCCTTCCCGTCGTCACCGACGGCGGGCTGCCGCCCCAAGGGGCCCGTCTCGGCCGCAGCCAGGGCGTGGCCGGCCGTGCGTCCTGCGCCATCGCACCCAGCGCAGGCGGCGACGCGCCAGAAACAAGTGCCCGTATGCAAGGCCTAGTCGTGGGCACACCGCACCGCCCTTTGGCAGGGACCGCGGCGTTGCCGGGCGCCGTCGCCGCCGCCGCTGCGTGCGCCCCCCGGGCTTCGAGCCCACCTGCACGCAACGGGCGCGCAGGCGGTGCGCGGTGTATTCGCACGCGCGGACGCTCGTGGTTTTAGCGACTCTCCGGGCGTCCGAGCCTCGCCGCGGCATTGCCAACGGCCTGCGGCGACCTGGCAAAGCGCCGGCTGCCGCTCGCAATCGCAGCCCCCTTCCTTGACGGCACCCACTTTTCCAAGTCGGCTCATGTTTTGGGTCAAACGGTGCCCGCGTTGCAACTTTCAACAGTTGGCGGCCCGCTGCTGCCCCTTTTTCCCTACTACAAGCCTCTCTGGCACAACCTTGTAATTACTAAGTACTTACCTGACATGATGCCCGACCATTGTCAATGACCCTGCAAAACAGCGAAAGCTGGGAAACGGCAGGCAGCGCATACATCGCATGGGCCCGACACTGTGACGGCTGCAGCCTGGAGGGCCCTAGCTTATGCCTGCTGGGGACCATTTGTGGGAGCCTTCCTGGAAGCTGGCATCACCAGGCATGGGCAGCTTCTTGGCAGGCGGCTAGGGGTCAGGTGTGCAGGGGTCACAGCCGCAGATGATCTCCTCAAGGGGCGCAGATTGTGAGGGTCGCGTGGCAATCAGATACCTGCCCTTTGTAAGATTGTTACAGCATAATGCGGTGGACTCGACGCCCCCTCCTCCCGCCGCGCGTGGGCGCAGCAAGCAGATGGCAGATGGCGCAGGGGGCAGAGGAGTAACCCTTTCCAAACCTCCACAAAATCTGGCAGCACCGATGGGTGGGCGCGGAGGGGCCTCCTGAATGGTGCAAACGGGGGTGGCGCCAGCCCCGCCATTTCTGGAGGCCTGGGGCAGGAGGCACCCCGCGCTCTGGCGGAGGCGTCTTGACTGCGGAGGGGTTGCGAACCAGCGCAACTGCCAGGCTGGCGGCACCCTGCATGCAGCCGCCGCGTTGCTGCACGCGTGCCCACGTGGCGTGCTGCCATGCACGACCGTGGCCGCGGGGTTTCTGCTTTCTGGGTGCGGCCGGCGGTGAGCCGCGGCTGGCAGGGCCTAATTAGCATGCCATGTGCACACAGGCGCAATGGAACGACGATGAAGCACGTTGATTAGGTAAAGCAACGAGATGACGAAGCCCAACGATAGATATAATAAGGAATTCCCCCCACGAAAGCGCGGCCGTCGCCGCTCCCTCGCCGCCGCCATCGCTGCCGCTCAGGAGCGGCCTCAGCTAGGCATCCCCGGGTCTGGCACCCCCGCCCGGCCGCCCGTCCCGCCGTGCCTTCCCGCCGTGAACTGCTCTATGAGCTCCTGCAGGGGCGAGAGCTCACGCTCCTCCACCAGGTCAAAGTGCTGCGGCGGTTACGGCGGTTTCGTTTGACCGGGCGGTTGTCGACCCGGAGGCCGTGGGGTATGGGTGAGTAGTTTGGCCACCGTCGTGGGTGATAGAAGAACAAACCATTACGCACTTGAAAAGGTGGGCATCATGTTACGTGGTGATGCCCTCGGGCCGCCGACGCTATGCGGGTGGCCACAACCCGCACCCGCGGCCGGCAGCGCTCAGGCTGCACACCCAGTTGCCCTGGCGCGCCCCAGCCACCTCAAAATCCGCACTCCCTGCCTCGTGCGCCCCCCGCGGGCAGCCCCAGTTGCCGCACTCGTGCCGCGCACCAGGACAAAGTGGATGAAGTGCTTGAAGCAGGTGTTGAGGTGAGCCTCCTCTCCGAGAGCACACACCTGCAAGACAGGGCGCCGCCGCCGCGTCGCACACCGCGTCCGCAAGACCACGCGCCCGAAGCCAGGCCCGAAAGGTCGGCGAGCGGGCGCCGCCGGGGCGCGCCCGCGCTCAATGGCTGCCCCTGAAGCAGCCGCCCTGATGCCCCCTCAAAGCCGTGGCGGCAGCCGTCCCTTCAAAGCACGCTTCCGCGTGCGCGTGCTTGTCCACCTGCTTGAAGTGGGAGTGGTATATGTGTGCGTAGACCCTAAACAGTCGCTTGAATATGGTGCGGACGGTCTCCCCGAAATCTGGCGGGAAGGGGGCCCCGAACTGGGCGGGGAACACCCCGCTGTCGTCGATCTGGAGGGGGGGGACGACGACGGGGCGGCGGGCAGCGCGATGGGGGTGAGAGGCCACGAGAGCGCCCTTGCGGGCCGCAAGCTGGCCGCGCGGCGGCCCCCGTGCCCCTGCGTTACCGTGCGAGATGCGTAGCGCCTCCCCTCCACGCCCTTGTTTCAATACCCCAGAGGGCCATGCGCTAAGAAAGTCACCCCAAAGCCAGGCACAGCAGCTGGGCGCGCTGTCAAGTCACAGGGTTTGGGGTTCAGGGTTCAACGCAAATGCTTTGACTGTGAACCCGTACCCCCCAAACCCTTGATGAGTGCGGAATTGAAGTCTCCCTGCGACGCATTGTTTGTGGTGGGTTCTGGACCCTACGGAGCTCGTGCGTGTCCATGTGTGGCGCCACCCCACCTGCACCTCGACCCAGTCAAAGAGCTTGTCAATGTACTCAGGGGCCGACAGCCGCACCGGCTTCTTATACTTCACGCCGTCGGCCCACAGGTACTCAAACTGCGTAACCCGGTGACGCGGGTGACACGGGCGGCGCGGGCGGCGCGGGTGACGCGGGTGGGGTTGCGTGGGCGAGCGGGCGCAACGTGGCAAAGGGTGAGGGCGGGACGCTGGTGACCAGCGTCTACTCGGGGGGCCTCGAAGGGCGCTTGCTGCTGGCCGCGCACATATCAAGAAAAGCTTGCACGCCCGCCGCCCCCTGCCAGCTGCACGCGCGTGCGAAGCGGTGGCGCCCCGCCTGTCCCGCTCGCCGTGTTTCTTTCGCAGCGAGCCGGTTGGGAGCGTCGCACCGCAGCCTTTTGCTGCCGAAACAGCGTGATACGCAGTAGTATATATGCGCTTGTGCAATACGCGTTGGCGGCGCCTGGCTGCCCACCTTCCCGCCCGCCGACATGACCTCGCAGCTGCGTTCAGTGCAGAACTCCGCCAGGGTGCTGTACAGAATGCTGACCGCATTGTAGAAGTCAACCTGTCGGCCGAGTGAGCCCAGGCGCCCAGGGCCAGGGGGTTGTTGACGTGTGTTGTGTCCCTTCGTACCATGTGTTATTTTGTTAGTAGGGCGAGGCGGTCGGCGGGCACCGGCCTGGCCCCAGGGGGGGGGGGGCGAGCTGCACACGTGTTGTGAAGGGGGGAGCGGGGCGCGCGTTTGGTTGGGTCGCGGCTCACCGTGTTGACAGCCAGCCACTCCCGGAGGTCTTCCCCTGGCGGCAGCCGCACTGCCTCAAGGATGTTGCCTTGCCCGAGGGTCAGGTCGATGTGGCGCTTTAGTTGCAAGCCCTGATACAAGTGGGCGAGTGGGGTCGAGGCGGGGTGGGGGCGGAAGGGTCGGGAGCGGGGGCTGGGGACGAGCGCGCCGCTGGCGTCCATGCGTGCAAGCGCACAGGGGCCAGTCGCCTGCCGGCTGCGCGCGGCGGCGTGGGTTGGATGGCGGAGGGGCGGTGGCACCTGCCGCTGCGAGCGCTGGCATGCGGAGCCTGGCATGCGTGCGCATGCGGCTCGGCGCCGCAGGATTGGGGCGCGTAATCGGCCCGTAAGACTTATATACCTTGCTGCCAACTGGCGTGTTTTTCTTGGCCCTCAGCGTCTTCGCCTGCCGACTGGGCGTGCGAAAGCGGCGAGGCCCGTCGCGTTGGATCGTTCCGCGGCTTGACAACGCGCCGCCGAGCACCACGATCGATCCAGCAACCCCTCATCCCACCTTCCCACAAGGCTTCCGAAGAGACTCATGTTGCTCCGAGATACAGCTGGCTGATGTGATCTGTCAACTCGTGGACACCCTGCAGACAGCAGGGGTTCGGGCTGACATTGAAAATCGTTTCACCCTGTTCCTGACTATACATCCATCCATCACTTCCTTTACCTGGGCTGGGGGCCGCCTTCCCAGGCTCCTGCCCGTTATCAACAGCTTGTCCCTCTTGCGCGGGCGCCCTCACCAGCACGCTGGTGCAGAGGACTCTGCGCCTCTCAGGTGTGCAGCAGCACGCGGCCCCTTAAGCCCATCGGCACACACTGAAGCCAGCCTGATGCCGGGAAACGGGCCCCAGCTTGACCCACGTCGCTCTCCGAGACAGCTTACGCAAACTGAAGCGAGCTACATGCGGCCTGTGAAAAGCGGCAAGGGGGCCGCTCCAGCCGGCGTTTTGACCTGCGCGGTGCTGTCGCGACGCAGCGTGCTCCCCGCCGCCGCCGGCTCCCCCTCGCCCCCCAGCGCAGGCCGCGCCCCCGCCCCTCCACTCCACCCACCTCCCGAGCCTCTTGGACCCATGGCTAACGGCGCCACCAGCTCCGCAACGACCGCGGCAGCGGCGTCCGAGCCCGCTGCTGCTGCTGCCGCTGCTGCTGCTGCTCCGGCACCCTCTTCGGCTGCAGCCCGAGACGCAACGTTGCCCGCACCTGCGGCGAGCCCGCGCAGCGCGTCTGACAACCGGGAGGATCCCGAGCACGACCCAAATGACAGCGACGAGCGCGGGCGCGACGGCGCGGCCCCGACAGACCCCGCCGAGCTCGCCGCCGCCATCATCAAGCAGGTGCATGCGCGCACATGACCGCGCATGACGGCGCATGACCGCGCATGACCGCGCATGCGGGGCGCGTCCCAGTTCCGACGCGGCTGGCTGCCATCGTCAAAGGGCCAGAGACCGCCGCAGTAATGGGCGGGCGCGTCCGGCCCCGAATGCCGCCAGCAGCCAACCCGTGCCGCTCAGCAGGGCGGAGCTCGCAGTACGACCCGCCCAGAAACACCACCACGCGTGATTCGCATGCGGCCCGGTTCTGCCCCGCAGGTGGAGTTTTACTTCAGCGATGCCAACCTGCCCACAGACAAGCACCTGCTCAAGCAGGTCAAGAAGGATCCCGAGGGCTTTGGTGGGTGGCCGTCTGCACTCGGCGCGCGCGGGGACCCCCCTTCCTCATCCTGCACGCCAGGGGTTCGACCGTCCCAGCCGCGCACAACGTGGGCGATGTGGCTCGACGCCCGCTTGGGCACGCGCACGGGCGCTAGCCGGCCCCCCCACCCTCTCCTATGTCAAGCACTCACCCCCTCCCCCCCAACCCTCATCTCGCCTGTCCTGACCCCCTCAGTGCCCATCAAGCTCATCTCATCCTTCAAGCGCATCAAGGCCCTCACCCCCGACCCCGACGTCGTCGTCGCCGCGCTGCGTAGCTCGACGCGGCTGGTCGTCGACGAGGCCGGCCGCCGCGTGCGCCGCGCGGCGCCGTTGACCGAGGTTGACCACTCGGCCGTCGCGCGGCGCATCGTGGTGGCGGAGCACTTGGGGCCGGGCCCGACCATAGGTGCGGGCGGTGAGGGTAGGGGAGGGGAGGGGAAGGAGTGTAAGATGGGGCGGCCTCGCAGCGTTGCTGGCGGCCGGCAGGGGACTATGATGCTCATCCCTCAGCGCGCCGCCTGGGTTGTGCCCAGGGTGCCGCCCTCGCACGTCGCTTCGAGCCCCGCATTTGTGCGCCGCCCCAGCCGAGGAAGCTGCGGCCGGCCTCGTGATGCACCCCGCTCCCCCGCCTCCCCGCTTCTTGCGCTTCACCCCGCGCCAGACTCTGTCGCGGCGTCGTTTTCAAAGTACGGCAAGGTGGAGCTGGTGCGCATCTGCCCCGGCGGCCAGACCCAGAAGCTGCCCGCGTGGCTGGCGTCCGCCGTGGCCGGCATGGCGTGCGCGGAGGGCGCGTTTGCGCTGGTCGAGTTTGGGACGGAGGAGGAGGCGGCCAGGGCAGTCGAGGGGGCGAGGAACCCAGACAACTGGTGAGCGGGCGTTGACGCGGGGGCGGGCTCAGTTTGAGGGGGTGGATCGCATGGCGGCCGGGGGCTGTCGTGCCGCTGGTGGCCCGGGATGAGTTTGGCCTTGGTGAGGGGCGGAGAGGGGGGCTCGGCGCCGCTGCGCCCCGGCGCCCGAAGCCAGCGACTCTGGGGTGGCGGGTTTAGGGGAGGGGCAGCGTGTTGCTGAGCAAGCGGCAATGGTGTGGTGCTTGCCAAGCGGCCGCGGGCGGAGCGCTCAGCTCCCGCCGGCCGCGCCCCCTGCCCCGCAGGCGCACGAGCCTGCGCGTGCGACCGCTCGCGCCGCGCAACTCCAAGGGGCACGCCGGCGGCCAGCCGGCGGGCCGGGGCGCGTCGCCACAGCCGCCAGAGGGGCAGCGCCACGGCCGCGGCGGCGGCGGCGGCGGCGGCCGTCGCACGTCCGAGCCCGGGGACGCAGGCGGTGGCGGCGGCGCCGACCACGGCGGCTGGGGCCGCGGCGGCTGGGGCCGCGGCGGCAGCGGCAACAGCGGCGGCGCCGGGACGGGTCGGGGCCGCGGCGCGGCGGGCGGGG